GAGGTCGATGTTATGAGCATCGCACCAGATTCAGACAAAGGTTATATCCTCGAGGTTGACTTAGAATACCCCAAAGCATTACACACATCACACAACAGCGACCCCCTGGCCCCCGAACGTATGAGGGTTAACCCAGACTGGATGTCTGAGTACCAACATAACTTGTTAGGTGGGCGGGTGGCAGATGTTGAAAAACTCGTGCCCAACTTAATGAATAAGACCAAGTACATCGTTCACTATCGCAACCTACAGCTGTACATGTCGTTGGGTATGAGGCTGACCAAAATACATAGGGTGCTCGTGTTCAACCAGAGCCCATGGATGGAGCCATACATCAGAATGAACACAGACCTGCGAAAGCTGGCCACCAGTGACTTTGAGAAAAATCTCTACAAGCTCATGAACAACTCGGTGTTTGGTAAGACTATGGAGAACCTTAGGAAACGTGTGACCGTGAAGCTGGTTCGGGCGAATGAGGAAGACAAGCTTAGGAGACTGATAGCCAGTCCGGCATTCAACCGTAGCAAAATATTCACCGATGACCTAGTTGCCCTACACATGAAGAAAAGCCACATAAAATTCAACCGGCCTGTTTACGTGGGGATGAGCATACTCAATTTATCCAAACACCTGATGTACGACTTTTACTACAACGAGCTTAAGAAACAGTACGACGACAGGTGTTCCCTGCTGATGGAGATTCGAACCGGGGACGTGTACGAGGACATGAAAAAACACCTCGATTTGTACGACACCAGCAACTACCCCAAGGACCATGCCATACACAGCACGGTAAATAAAAAGGTCCTAGGTAAGATGAAGGACGAATGTGCTGGCACGCCCATAGCCGAGTACATAGGGTTGAGGCCTAAGATGTACTCCATACTGAAGGCCGACAATGGTGAGATCCGGAATGCGGAGGGTGTTAAGAAGTACGTGGTGAAACAACACATCAAACACGCCAGATTCAAGAAAGCCCTGTTCAAGACCTGTACCTTTAGACATAAAATGAACACACTTAGAAGTGATGGGCATAGGATATACGGACTGACTATAAACAAGACGTCCCAGTCGCCGATGGACACTAAACGTTGGATAGCTATTGATGGGATAAACACGTACGCGTACGGGCATGAGAAAATTGAACCAAGAACATAGATATATATAAACAGGATACCCTGTCTAGGTGACATGTCACGGAACCAGAGAAAGTTTGATGCTATTTACTATAGCCTGCGTGGGTACTGGAAAGGAGCTAGCGCTGTACATAAGCTGGCTAAAATGGCGTGAGTACCCCCGGAGGAGGCCAAAGCGTGGCTTGAAAAACAAGCCCTGTGGCAGATCTATTTACCGGCACCACGCTACGTGCCTAGAAGGAAATTCGGCATTAACGTACCCAATAGCGTTCACCAGGCTGACCTCCTATTCCTACCCCACGACAAGAGGTACAAGTATGCCTTAAACGTAGTGGACGTAGCCAGTCGCTACAAGGAAGCCAAACCCTTGACCGCGAAAGATTCAGCCCAGGTAGCCAGAGGATTCGAACGCATATACAGGGGCAGTCCGCTGACGTGGCCAACAGAGCTGCAAGTTGACCCCGGGCGGGAGTTCATGGGTGCCGTGTCACACCTGCTGGATAAACACGATACCAAGGTCAGGCGTGGCACGGCCGGAGCCAATCGCAGCCAAGCCATAGTTGAGAGATTCAATAGGACTTTGGCTGAGCGCTTATTCGGGCATCAGTATGCGAGGGAGATGGTCAACCCGGGGAAGCGATCGACTGAATGGGTCGCTAGGTTGCCTAAGGTGGTGTCGGCAATCAACCATGAAGCCACCCGTCTCACTGGCAAGAAACCGGTAGACGCTATCAAACTAAAATCAATAGTGGCAGAGTCGGCTGCTCCATTGCGTGGGAAAGAGAAACAGATACCAGATAGGGCCCTAGTGAGGTATCTATACCAGCCGGGGGAACACGAGGGTGATAGCCATAAGCGAGCCACTGACCCAATATGGTCAGTCAAAACTTACAACATAGATAAAGTGGACATGAAAGCAGACGAGCCTAACTTGTACTACTTGAGGGATGGGCCAGGTAGAGGGCTCGTTAGACAGGAATTATTGATCGTGGCGTACGGCACAATGTTACCCCCCAAGCAAAATACCAAGTAATCCCAATATAGTATCCTGTCAACACGGCATATCACATGATCAGTTCGCTATCTCAGGATAGACCCGTTAAACTGACACACTTCAACCATGCCACCGGTAGCTCAGTCGGTTAAGTGGTGCGGCAGTGAGGTATACATGTGGAGTTTGTATCCCGCTGACGTCTCAAACTTTTTTATAGTAGGGCTGGATCAAGGGTCCGACCAAAGCCTTATTTGTGAAATAAGGCTTTGCAGAGGCTTTTGTTGGACTTGATCCAAAAACCCCATTGTATATACTACTACAATTAACAGAAGCAATGCGACACAAGAAACAGGGCAATTAACAGACTGTTGCATTTCACATGAGTCTGTCTCTGTATGAATGGGACACTCCTCCGCATGTATCTATACCCGCAGTCAGACAGACAAGACGATCTTTGTACTGATATCCCTCAACCTGCTTAGACGACGAGAAACTGAAATTATCACTGTAAAATATCCACATATGTCTACGATCTAAAGTACGATATTGATTCCATATGTAACACCATTCTTATTTTCTTATGCACACTCTTCTGTTTTTCGAAACTGAGTCCTGATCATATTTGCCGCCACATGAAACAAGTATCCCCAACACCGGACGGACATGTGTTGTTCCAGAGTGTGGAACACATCTAATACAGTGGCAGAGCGGGTTGGATTCCTGCTGGTGATAAGGTGCCTCATTCCCAGATGGGACTCAACCCAAAAAGGACAAGAATCTGTTATTACTGAGAAAGCGTAATATATAACATATTTTACGCAAACATGCTAATGTTCTACGGCAGTCGTCAGTGAGACTTATATGTCAGATTCTTAAAATATAGACCCAAGCAAGCTGCTACAAACCTGACTAAAAGTCACAATGAATCATCTGTTTTGGTTGCGTTCCGGGAGTCTGCTTGGTTTCACTAAAAAAGCTGTGAGGGTGAATTAGTTTTCAAAGATCATAAAGTGTTTAGTTATAGCTGGGCCAAGCAGACTTGTACAAAGTCTGATTTTACTTATATTTGTGATTACAGAGTTTAGAATACTCATAAACAACATCAATGGGAAAATACCTTATGCATATGCGATAACTTGTGTCTCGAGTGTTTGGCTGAATGGTAACACGTGGACAAGTCAGTCCATGGGCCCCACCATGTCATTATCAACGGGGAGGCCAAAGCCCGGAACTGGGACAGATTCTTGACACCGAACGAACCTGATACCAAATCTGACTACAAATCAACAAAATGGAAAACTCCGCCAGTCCCAATTAGCAGACGACACCTCTCAAAATAACAGAGAGCTCTCTAATGTAACAATGTCCTGCGAAATAGTAATGGATCGCATCGTGGCTGTATCACCTTTAGGTGATTTAAAACATTTTGCAATATAAGCCAAGTAACCTGACAACAACTGAATACCGCAAATATACTTTCCCCACTATATACATTGGCATTTTGTGAGAAGTTATTGCACAAATGATGGCAAATATTGAAACGGGGCCTGAAAGTGAGTTCCAGGCGATTTGAAATATACCCAATGATTGTATATATAATACTGAAACAGTTGCCATAGGCGATACACTTGGCCAAAAAGTATGCAGTGAGTAATAGTCCCCAGCCTTAATGGCTAAATTAAATGTATGTGCACTCATAAATGTTAAAGGGTGTTGTAGTAAGTGTCTCTGTTTTTGATTTAGGGACAGTGTTGGAAGGTGGCAAAGCAAGACTTCGTGGACTGTTACGAAAATACTTCATTATATTCTTCCTCGTTATCAGATGTAACATTTACGTCTTTGTATTATGATTGGCAATGACGTTTTAACTAAAGTTCAATTTAGATTATTTGCATCTGTTAAGACATTATTGGCATCCTTAAGAAGAGCAGGTTATAATTTGCCCTTTGTCGTGTGAACCATGTTTAACACCTTGCTTCCGACAAACCGTGACTCATGCTTATTCTAACAACATGTACGGCATGTCTTTTACTTTTTTACATAATTTTAATTATGTTCAGCGGGATTTGTGCGGATATCTGTTCAGCCTTGTTTTCTACATTTTAATCTTTCTTGCAACTATCGTTTATGCAGGTGTGCATATGTGAGAACCGTTCACTTGATAGCACTTTAAGAAAGGACGTAGATGAACAGACGATTAACGATTTAAACTAAGACCAGATGGCCTTTGTAAAATTCCACCTGAATGAGTTGTGGACATCATATGAGTTATCTGCCTAAAATTGTACGGGAATGATTCCATTGTGTTATTGCGTGCTGACTACGGATACTGAAATCTGCAAAGAGAATTTGTGCAAGTACCAAGGTGAAAACAAGTAATTGTACCATCAATAAAAAGACAACAGTCATCATCAAAAATAAAGTCATCTATGATACGTGTGCTTCCCCACATAAGAATACGTGTATGACCATGTAAAGTTACCCATCGTACCTCGAAGAGCTGATCATGTGAAGTTTGTCCGATCAGAGCACTGGTATGAAGCAACACAAGGATGGATATGACATGTCAACATGTTTACAGACTGTAACAACTTGCATATTAACATGAAGTGTTACGGGATTGTGGATCGCATCCTGCTTTCGCAAGAGAGAGGCCTCTCTTTTGGCGACAATTACCGATATGAGTAAAGCATTGACACCAATTATGATGACGAATATCACATGTATAGCTCTGCTTCAGAAACGTGTTATTGGAGGAAGAATGCTGAGGGTTCAAAATCGTTAAACAGCAACTGTACTTCATATTTACTGTTTGTATGGGAGTCTGTTTCACAGGGTGTTTGCTCAGAGAGAGGCTCCATCCAATTATTATTATGTTTTACAGATTAAATATAGCATGTAGCAGAGAGGGTTCTGGTGATCATGGTGCAGTCAGGCTGGTAAGGCTCATCATCAGCTCATTGCCCTTGCCCCCTCTACACGCAGCCCAGGTGAGGTGAGGTGAAATTGGGTTTAACGTCGTGCTTGAGAATATTTCGCTTATATGACGATGTGCATGCGTGTGTATGTGTATGTGCGGCTGCTTGTACTAGCCCAGACGTAAGCTGGTTTTATAGTGCTTGCCCACTGAGATACCATGCCGCAGTGAAGCATGAATACCCCACTCAGACACATTATACTGACTCCGAGCCGACCAGTCCTTGTTGTACCCATTAATGCCGAGCGCCAGACAGGGACCAACAAGTACCATATTTTAACGTCTTTTGGTATGACGCGGTCGGGGATCGAACCCGCGACCTTCCGCTCTCCGGGCGGACGCTCTAACCACTACACCACGGAGGCGGTCCGCAGCCCAGACAACGAATGGGACTTCTCACAGGAAACGCTGCCTAGTCGAACCCACCAAGAACTTTCCGGACAATATGTAGACTCCCCAACACTGCAGCCTCCTGCATTACCCAGAGTGTCAGAAGGGCTGTGCTCCCGGTGGAGAACACGGGCACTCTGGTAAAAAGTACATAAAAGAATTCTATCATGAAGAGACTCCACAACAATCAAAACCCTACCTCCAGAATTGATTGGCATATAAAAACAATTAAGACAGGAACGAGGGTGGTGGGCTCTGTTATCAGAAATGATCCTTCTGGTCAGGCGGTCAAGACTCTGGATGTCTTGTTTTGTCCAATCAACTACTCCAAAGGAATAGGAAAGGACTGGCACAGTAAAAGTTTGGTGGCTTTAACCTTCTTTCGAGCATTTAGCTCTGAGCTCCAGATTGTCTTTAAGCGAGCTTTATACTCGGCCCGAAGTTTGTCTTGGATCTAGGCGTTCTGGAGCTTTCTTGAACTTGGTTTCCAGGATAGGTGTAGGCCTGATCTTCCTCAAGATTCTCATTAACTCCACCCCACCCACCCCCACCCCTGTAACGTGACCGATCCACTATTAACTACCTTGCCACGTTTCAGATGAAGAGTATTACATTTGTCGAGTCCAAACATCATGTCAATATCATAACAAAAGGGCTCGACTAGGAGAACCTGCTCTTTCAAATTGGCATCTCCTTTGGCAAGGAGCTCTATGTCATCCATGTAAAGGAGATGAGTAAGCGGTGCTGGGGATCTGCGCTGAGGAGGTCCGGGATGGTAACCCTCCTCCCTACTGAGCAGAAAGCAAAATGATTTAGAGACAAACAAAAAAGCAAAGGACTGAAGGAGTCCCCCCGAAATATTCCCTTTCTGATTGGAATAGATTCCGAAGCCTGCACCTGCCCTTGCAAGTACTTCTCAAGTTGAGTCGACCAGCAACTCATTAAACACTTGAGTAAATCAAGCAGTTGCTCAGGGAGGTCAATACAACGAAGAGACTTCAGAATCCACTCGTGATGGACAGAGTCGTATGCTTTCTTGTAGTCAATCCAGCACATGGGGAGGTTGCGGTGATATGTTTTCGCCTCTTCCAAAATCATTTTTTGAACAAGAAGTTGATCCTTGCATCACGAACATCCCTTTCTCACTCCCTTCTGCTCTCTATAAATTATATCACTGGAAGAGCAGTAAGATGGCACGAGACTTGTCAAACACCTTTGTGTATTCAAACATGTGATAGGGCAGAAGTTTTGGATATCAGTCAAGTCTCCTTTTTTGGGAGGAATTATTGTGCGACCTTTGCAGAACCATGGAGGAACATTATCTGTGTCCACTAGAGAATTGAAGCAGTGAAGTAATGGGAACAGTTTCCTGTACTGGTTTCGAATGCCATCAGGCCCTGGAGCTGTATTTTCAACCGATCTGGTGAGATGTAACAGACAAACCACCTAGTTATTTTCTCATGCATTGCATGGTCATAATCACGGACCCATGGTGCCTCAAGGTTACAGTCGCCGGGTACAGACCACAAGTGTTTTCTAGAACCTTTCATTGGCATCCATGGGAGGCTGATTATTATGCTCACCATCACCGTTTTTTTTCAGTTGCCTGTAGAAGTGTTTTTCATCTTTTCTAAAAAGTTTATTTTGTTTAATAAATTTGTTCTTCTTTTCCCATTTTTTTCTTTCTTTCCGTCCAAACCTTTAATTTTGCCTTAAGGGAATCGACAATGTGGAGAAGTACCTTTTCTTTTGTTGTCTTGTATTGTGATTTTAATTTCTTCCAAATTGCCTTTTAGACATTGGGTTCCCTGACGATCTTATTTTAAGGCACAGCTCAATCTAGGAAATATTACTTCTTGTTTCATTAAGTTTTACAAGAAACCGGCTTGTCCTTGGTCTTTAGTTGTTTTCATTAGATTTTATTTTCTTTTGAAACTGTGTGAAGTCTTCCAAAGTTCGAGCGGCAGCATAGACACAGCAATTCACTTCATGTAACGAGCAGTCCGCCGAAAGTGTTAGGGAAATAGCTTCATTTAGTAAATCAATTTCATTTTTGGGAAAGACACGTTTAGTTGTTTAATTAGCCTCCGTTTCTCTAAAGGTAAATCACAAATTTCCTCATAAATAGAATTGAACAAAATGTAAACAGGATTTTCGGAAAGATCTGAAACTGAGGAAGAAGAAGAGTTTGGGTCAGACATTTCGGGGCCAATTGGCTCTACACCGGAAGAGTTTGCTCCAGGAAGAGGATACCCATGCATGCACGTCGTCATATGAGCGAAATATTCTCAGGCACGATGTAAAACCCAATTTCACCTCACCTCACCTCCAGGAAGAGGAAAGAGGTTAAACGTGGGTGTCCAACAGAAGTTTTGGGTCTGCTGCCACTTGAGAATGCTGCTCATGCAAAGGTTCCTGACGGGCTCCAGTTATGGGTTGAACTGGCTCAAGGGGCATGAGATTTTTATGCCGCCAATATTGATCTCGGAGATTTTGCTCCGTTAGGTAAGCATACATGGGCATGGCGACTTGACGCGTGAATTCGCATGCCATCCTGTCGCTTTCGCACACTCTAGTAGTGTGGATTTTAGACGATTTGACCAAGATATTCTTGGTCGGGTTCTGTGCCTTCACCTGGGGCAAGTCCCACTCCAGTGTGGTTGGTGTCACTACCGGAGGAAGGCTGACTGGGCTGCGGAGTTAAAAGATGGTTTGCTCCTTGTTTGTCTGTAATCCAGTAAGAAAACCAGCTTCGAGGGGTCAGCCCTAACTGGGTGATGTACGTTTAGTTCAGGAAATAAAATGCCCCTATCTAGGCCCACCACGGAGAGGCGTACATCATCAGGCCCCTATTATTATTATGTTTTACAGATTAAAGATAATATGCAGCTGGGGCAGCCTGTCGCAAATCAATGGTCGGTCAATTCTGGGTCAGTGAAGGGTATCCATGTTAAACTGCGGTATGTCAGTATCCCAGCACGATAACACTGGCATTCGCACGAACAGTAAACGCATCCAAACACATACTTTGTTATAGCATGGCATTTCCATTGAATAAACGATAATAAGAACAGATTAAAGCTGCTATTCATACAGGTTTTATTATCAGATTATGTTTTTTTCGGTAAAACGCAAATATGTAATACATTCTACAGATGGAGGTCATTTAAACGTCCCGATTTGGTGGTGCGAACAAAAATACATTAACAACTCCTTGGATCTTTCAAATATAAAATATAATGGATATACAATGTCGTTGTACTTGCGGTGATGACATTACCAAGAACTACAGTGTGTTCTCTCAAAAAAAAGTATAATGACACACTTACATTTCATCTGGCACAGTACATTTATAGCACTATGAATGAGCAATGCGGGGAGTAAATGTCATTGTATTGCTTGATGCATGTGTCTTCCATGCATAACTGTGATACTTGATAGTGCTGTTTGTAACGTTGATATCTGGGTATTTCGTATCTGTCGGTGGAATGACCTTTATATCCCAATAAAGCCTTTCCTCAGGTCCAGTCTAGATTAAAGAGAATTGCTTGTTGATTTCAGAAACCCTGTTTGAACAATAGTCTTACGAATCACATCGTACTTTGCAAACTACAGTATTTAGGATTATTTGTGTGATACCAAGCTGGACTATGACTTCCTATGTTTCGTGTTAAGTGGTGCTGTCGAGGTTCATTCCTGTTGGCCGCAACGTGTTCAGTGATATCCTCTGCATGCCCACACCGGGTTTACGCGTAATTACGTCCTGATGCATACACTGACCCCAGCCAAAGTGTGGACAGAACTTTTCAACAGTTTACCAATACGTTTTCGATAACATTCGTGTATTGTCTCTCTAACTTCATACTAGAATCTATTAAATTTGACCTACTTCAAGGGATTTAGCCGGGGATGTCCGAATGGATGGATGTATTAATGGATGGATGGATGGATGGATGGATGGATGGATGGATGGATGGATGGATGGGTGGATGGATGGATGGATGGATGGATGAATGGATGGGTGGGTGGGTGGGTGGGTGGATGATGTACGGGAATCAGACCGTAAGAGAATTATGTGGGTAACCAATAGACAACAAGGAAATGTGTTGTAATAAATAATTGTACTCCACAATTAACTTAGTTCACAAATCAATACAAAGGGATCACTACTGAATTACAAAATAGTATGGCAGTACAAGTTCAAAGGTAATATAATACAAGAGCAGGGATTATATCAATACTGAATGGCGGTAATAATCACTTCTCAGCTACAGTACTCCAACTTGGAAGAAAGGGCTGTGCAGAGTGTGTCCAAGAGTATACAGTGATCACACAAAATACTTGTCTTTCTGTGGCGCGAGATCAGATGCAATAACTTGGTCCCTCTTAAATACCTAAGAAACGGTTACTCTGACAACATATAATGCTAGTCTAAAGATAGCACGCCACTGCTCTTCACTGAATGTACAGGTACAATATATAACAGGTGAAACATTGCTGTACAATATATATATACTGCCTCATCATCATCCCACTTTCCACACAAGGGAAGTTTGAAAGTAGTAAGAACCGTCTTTGCTACAGTGTTTACAGACAAATCAGACCATGTGTGCAATCAAATCTGATCGCCATCGAGATGATGCATCAGTGAAAATATTGTCTTTGCATTTAATTTTGATGTCTAAATTCAGTTAAAAGGGAACCATCCTCCAGCATTAGGCGTGGTGTTTGTTATTCATTTAATGAAGAAAAGTCAGTGGATTCTTATTGCTATTCAGTGGTGGAATTTCTGATGTTTGTCAAACTGCCTTGAAAATTAACAAACGTCGAAGCCTTATCATGTTCTTTCAACAGGACAGCTCCAGCACCAACCTCACTAGCATCTATGGCCAGTTTGAAAGGGTTTTTTTCAGAATCAAGTGCATGAAGAACAGGGGAATTCGCGAGAATGACCTTGAATTAATCCCTAGCAGCTGTCCCAAACAAATTTAATTCTTTTGCCAAGCAAACAAGTACAATGGGCAGTGCCACTAGTGAGTAGGTTTTGACAA